TCTAAATGACAGTGGTCAGGCAAAAGGAACTCAGGAACCTGACAAACATTTAGAGAAATTTTAGAGAAAAAGTAAACCATTGTACCAATTACCCCTGGTTTCTTGGATTCAATAGCCGTGTTCTCTGTCACAGCCAGGCCATCTGGTCCAGCTGCTTCTCTGCCAGAGTTGGCAGTTCACATGGCAACCAACGTCTTGATGAACTGAGAGAAGTGTTTTAGGGCAGACAGCGATGCAGCACCTTCTAACTACATGCAGTTTCCCCCTTCCCAAGGTTCTCCTCCCCGGGCTTTCCTGGTTCCCAAAATGCCTCCTCCCAAAACAAAACTGGCCTGCAGAAATAAGCTACTCTTTTTGACGGAAAATTTACTGGAGTGACTGGAGTCACTAAGTGACTCTCTCCTGTCCTCAAGAACCCATCTTGTTTCTCCTGGAAGTTAGCCACATCCATCTCTGGCTATGCCCAAATGATGACTTCCAAATGTCTTTAAAGCATCCAAAATTAAAGGGACAGAATGGGGATCTGGTGGCCATTAAAGTTCCCATAAACTTTCCCCTAAAAATAGAGATTTTGAAGCTATTATTTGGCCATCATTTTTGTCCTCTAGTTTGCATACCAATATCTATTATGGGATTGGCTAATGGTGGGAACTTATGCTAAGTAAGGCCAAAATAACCTCCAAACAAACAAACAAACAAAACCTTTAAAGCCTGCTCTCAACAAAAGTGCCTGAAAGCAGAGTAAACACAATTCTCACACAAGGCAAGCCATGGAAGAACCCGTGATGCCTATGAACAAATATCTGTTGAGCACCTATTTTGTGTCATAAACAGTGCTAACGCTGGGGAAATAATAACAAACAAGAGGGACATAATCTCTGCCTACTATGTCAACACACCAGAAAGCCATTTGTAGCACAGACCAGAATGCAGGCAAAAGAAAATCAAGAATTTGGGAACTATGATTCTGACTTAAATATTTTCAACATATTTTAATAGAAGACATACATAAATATGTAAATATGTAAAAGCTCAACAATATCATCTAGGAGTAAGGATGGTAACCTCCAAATCTACTGTAAGACAATATATTTCTAAGAATACTATACACTGTTCTGTAAAATAGGTAACAATTGGCAAGGCAATATCTCCACACCATTTTATTGCCCTGATTCGCTATACTCAGCACCATAACCAATCCTTAAATTCTGAAAAGATAGATTTCAGAAATTGTCCATCTCTAATATAGTGACAATACACTTCAGAGATAAGAGTTATAATATTTCCAGATGAACTTTTAAAAAACATCACATCATTCAATTAGTGCACATAACTTATACCTCTGAGATCACCCTCTAGCCTAGCACTGTCCAAGAGAACTTTCTGTGATGATGGAAATGTTCTTTCTGTGCTATCCAATTCAGTAGCCATTTTCCACATATAGTTATGGAGCATCAGAAATGTGAATTTGAATTAATTTATATTTAAATAGTCACATGTGGATAGTGAACAGTGCAAATTTAGTCTTAGAATGAAGGTGATTCTTTGTGTGTCAAGGAAAAAAAAATGTTCCCTTCCTTTGGATTCACTTAGTCAAAATTGAGAAATTATTTAACAATTGAAAAAGTCAAAAAATCTCTACATTAACAAGACTGTGAATAAACAGCAAAATAAAGATTAGTACCTGATTTAAACAAAACTCAGGATTATAATTTCACTCACTGACCTGGGTGAATCAAAAAAACAAAACAAAAAACCCGTATGTGATTGAAATACGTGTGACTACTTTTAAACATCAGTGCATACTATTAAAGGAAAATAACCCAAGGTGTACACACTTGAGTTAATCAACACTCAAAAAAAGATTTTAAATGCCTCATGTTTTGTTAATGATTGTTCATCCATCTATTTAATGCCTACAATGTGGCAGGCACTTTACTTATAGGGGGATTATTATTCTCCTAATATACCAAATAGCTGTGTTTAACCTTTTGAAGTGATTTAATTTCCAGCAACTTCATGTATAATTGCTTCATTTTTGAGTTAGGGAATAATATAACCAAATGATCACTCATTCTATGGATCTGACTGCAAAACCAAAGTTCAAATATAGAACTGCATTAAAATGCATAGCACGTACCTCCGGAAAATGGAAAAAACATTAACATATCTTTCCAACAGCTAACTAATATATATTACAAGCATCTAAAATGATGTGCTTGAACTTTTTCAGAAGACATTTTTCATTATTTTCCTGAAATGGAATTTAACCTGATTTCCTAAGAAGTCATCAGAAAGGTTTTCATTAAAATAAAATCTCTCTTGCTTAGTTGTACAAAAAAATTCATTTAAAATATGTATGTGAAAATCATTTCTGGATGTTTGGGGTTTGAGAAGGTAGTTCACTCTTTTATTTTCCCACCTTTATTGATACATGACTGACATAATGTTGTGAAGGTTTAAGCTGTACAAAGTGTTGATTTGATACATATATATGTTGCAAAATGATTACCACTATCGCATTAACTAACAGTTCCATCCATCATATAATTGCGATTTCTTTTTTGTGGTGACAACATTTAAGATCTACTCTCTTAACAATAGGGTATTGTTAATTATAGTCACATTGCTGTATATGAGATCTGCAGAACTTATTCATCTTTTAACTAGAAGTTTGTACCCTTTCACCAACATCACCCCATCTCTCCCACCCCCACCACCCCTGGTAACCACCACAATACTCTCTGTTTCTATGAATTCAGTTTTCTTAGATTCCACATAGGAGTAAGAGTATACAATGTTTGTCCTTCTCTGACTTATTTCCCTTAGCATAATACCCTTAAGGTTCAACCACGTCACAAATGGCAGGATTTCAGAAAGTAATTCTTTCAATAAACATTTCCTAAGTGATCACTGTGCCAAGTACTATGCTTGACACCAAAAACGTAACATTCTTCCTGAGCAGGAACCAAGTCCAGATAGCACATCAAATTGCACATTGATGGAAACATTACCAGTTTCCTCACAGCCATATCTGCATCAACTAATGGATACTACCAATGGCCAGGCATTGAAATCTTTCTTTCTCTGACTTCCATACCTATGTAAGCATAGCAAACAACAATATATTATACCATATTTTCATTCCATCTGCTAGAATGACACTGCCATATTTTGCTTTGGGCCAGCTAGACTGTATATGTATAGACACAAAGTACACACTGTATGCCACCAAAACCAGTTATGCAAAGGCTCTGAAATATTTATTGGTCACCCTGATTGGGCTTTGTTCTAAAAGTCACAATCAAGTGAGATCCTGACATCATCTAAGTAACTTTGTAAATGATAAAAAAAATTTATACAAGGTATAAACCCAATTTTGTAATGTAATATATATGCTAGTAAAGGGAAACAATAAGAAATTCACCAAAATCTCTGGTAAGATTGCTGGTGATTTTTATTTTCTTATTTATATGTTTCTATACTTCCAACCTCTCTATAAAGACTGCATATTACATTTTTAATCAGTAAAAAATTTATATATATATATGTGTGTGTGTGTGTGTGTATATATATATATATATTATTTATAGTAAAAACCACTCTTGCAACTGTTCCAAAACTAGTGTCTAGTATATGCCAAAGTAAGGTCTCACATAGGGAAGTCGGCGTTGACTACAGCTGTGATTTTAGGGGGCTGGTGCAAAAGGCCCAGGGGCAAACCAATTAACCAATGACTGGAAGCTCTTTGAAAGGAACAAAGGCTTTCACTGTCTAAAGTTAAGGTTTAAAATGAATAATCCTGGGGGAAAGGGAAAACAGTAACATATGCTCCCACCAGGATGGAAACTGAAAAAGGCAGCTTTTTCCAGCTCTAAGTCCTGGTTAGGTCACTGGATAAATGCAGTATTGCCTTCTGGTGACTCTGTAGAACACATTTGTTTAAACATTTAGTAACGAACATTTAGAGAAGTATTAAAAAATGCCATATAGTTTTGAAAAGGAACACTTTTTTCTGATTATAAAAATAGTGCAATATTCTTCGTAGAAACCCTGGAAAATATGAAAAAGCTAGAAAATAAGATAAAAATCATACATAATCCCATCACCCAGAGGTAATCACCATGAGCAGTTTGATCTATAACCTTCTAGTAATTTATTCTAAGCATGTGGTTATATCCTGCTTTTACACTTAATATTTTATCCTGAGCATCTTCTTACGTCATTAAATATGCTTAGTAAACCTTATTCTAATAATTGCCTAATATCACTGATGGCTTAAAAATATCATTTCTTGGGTAAATGATCTTATTGTATCTACTATGGACCTGATTTATCATAAGAACAGATTCAAATGTATCTGCTATTTGAAAAAAATAGCCAAAGGATTTTTTTTTTGAATTAGTGATCTCTCCTAGGTCTAACCAACATTAGGATTTTGACTCTAAAAGTGATTCTGTTCTGCTCAAACTCCTAAAAACGTCCATATTGTGAACAACAATAAATCACTCACATATTTTCCTAAATAGTCTTAAGCTTGGAAAAGCACAACTTCCTTAAGAAATGTTCGATAATAAAGCATGGCAGGCGCTCCCAGCCAGGCTCTGCCTGCTGTAGCAAAGCAAGTCGATCACGAGTTTGAAGGAAACACTCAAGTAAAACAGAGAAAAAAGTATCCTTGGCACAAGTTTAAGCTTCTGAGTAAATTCATCTGTTCAGCTTCCAAACTAAAAAAGAAAGATACTGTGATTTTTCTGGAAAAAAATTCTAATTCAGAAGCTACATAAAACAATTCTATGTACAGGCTGGGCCCCCAAAATATCAGCATAGCACATATTTGCTAAGCAAAGATTTCTGAAAATTATTTTACTCAGCATACTAATCACAGTTCCTTTTAAGCACAGGAGGGGAACACTCTTAAGTAAAAATTTGCAATTTCAGTTTAAAAAGGGAAACTCCATTCCCAATGATCTTTGGTGGGTTGGAGATCCTTTTCTTACCTGCAAGGCAGTTTAGGATCAGAAAGACCTTCCAAAATGTGAACACCATTGTTTCAAGGTTCGTGAGCGCAGCCAGGGTCCTGTAGCTTTGCTGGGCTAGGCTGAGTCTCAAACTGGCTTCTTCAATCACACCGAGGTTTGCCAGGCTTATCTGCCGGCATCACCAAGCAAACAAGCCTCCTCGGGCTTACTTATTGGGTAGAGAGCTTTCTCAGAGCAGATCTGTATTTCTCTGAAACAGTTTTCATGGGGCATGTTTCCTTGAAATAATTTGCTACTGTGTTAATAATAAACCCATGTATTTAAATTCTTCAAGTTCTTTGTACACAGATTCCCTAAGTTTATTGTTTAAAATCAATCTTATTAAAAAGTTATACTTGGGGGATAAAGATATAATTAGAGAGAGCCTAAGCAAATAAAAGTTGACAAGGCTAATTAATTTCAAATATTTCCATAAAAGTCTTACAGCATTGATTGACTAACCTTTTACAAATAAAGTTAGTAAATTAGTGCTCTAAGATTTTTCTCAGGAGACAGGGTTCACAGGAAGGGCACAGGGGATATGAAGCAAAAAAAGCATTCATTTCTATGTGAAAAAACTTTGGACATGTCACACTTTTTTACAGCCCTAGCAGTATAATGAATTGCATGCTTATGTCTTCCAAATTAGAAACTCTATGGTATTTATTCATTCACCTAATTTTGCAGAATCAGGTGAGTGAATAAATGCTTTAAGACTTTCATTGGATGAGTCTGAATTTTTGTAGAATCAGGTTACTGAATAGGTGCTACAGGGTTAACTTGGAAAGGGGGTTCACTAGGAGGGAATGGCAGGCTGCACAGGTGAGAAGCCTTCACATGAACATGAACTTCTAACAAAGTTACGCTCGTGCTTAAGTTACCCTGAGATACATAAGGGCCTTCTCTGGCTCTTGCCCCGAAATCTCTAAGCCCTGTTGTTTCTGTCTCTTCAATGGCTCTCAGATTTGTACCTTATCCAATCAGCTGCTCCCATCCTGGTCCAGGTACTCAGCTCCTTACCCTTGGCCTACTGTAGCAGCTTCCTAAATGATTTCCTTGACTTCTTCCTCCTTCAGCCTGTGTACCAGTCACATGCCAATGGGCCAACACTGATCAAGCATCTTCAGTGACACCATTATGGACTCTTTCCTCAAATCTAAAGTCCTTAACCTGGATTCCCAGCCTTCTAAGATTTGGCCCTCACCTCATCTGACCTTTAGTCATGTTAAATCAGCCACCTGAAAAATGCTGTCAAAAATTATTGCTTCAGAGTGTTCAGTCACATGAAATATATACAAGTTGCACTGATAAGTTTTATGAACTTTAATTTACGAGAAAGGTTTGACACCATCCCACCTCAGCCAAGCCAATTTCCTACAGCTCCTCAGCAAGCCATTTTGCTCCCATCAGGCATAACTCCTTCTCAAAGCCTTCCCTGCTCATGCTCATGGCTGATGCCAAACAATGGCTTCAGGTGAATTCCATCACTACTCAGAATTTTCTCTTCCCACCTCTTGCTATCTAAGCATATTCTTATCACATATCAGTCACGCTATCCTTTATGAAAAATGTGAAGAATCCACACACCACCCCTCTCTGGGCTCCCTCTTGGACAAACGTGTATTGTACTTAGAACCAATACCCTTCAGTTGGCACCTGATCACTCTTCAGTAGTCTCCTATTTATTAACGGGGTCTCCCCTAAATCCACTGGCTGTGAGCCCCTCCAGGCCAGGGACCAGGTTTTATGCAGGCAGTTCCCAACCTAAGAAAGGGTGTGTCCCAAAATGTATTGGTAAGCTCATTGTTTGGGCCCAAGAATACATATTCCTGCCAAAGCAGTGCTATAAAATGGAAGTCCCATTCCCAGATCAATGCAGTGAATAGTCTAGCATTGGCTTGAATTCTGGCTACTGGGCCATATACGGCAGGGGAGGAGAAGGAGCAGCAGGTGGAAGAGAAAGAGCATCCTTTTCCCTTCCCAAGACACAGGTTGAGCACAAGGCAACATTTTTTCCCCAAATAACTACTTCATTTCTTTGTCACCCACCTTCCCTTCTGTCCTCCACCCTCATGGTCTACTGGCCCCTTGTGTACCTAGGCTTCCCTAAGGGAGGGTCTTACTCTTCCAAAATCCTGTGCTCCAAAATTACTTTTTTCTTTCCAATCTTATTCCTCTCATAAACACACTCCCTCCTCTGTATAAGCAGATATCAGCTCCATGTTAGGAGGGAAAAAAATCAATTGCCATGAACATTCCCCAACTTGTTTACACTATTAAAAATAGAATGCTTGTTTTCCCCCAAATTAATCTCTGATCGGGAATACTGGGCAATGAAAAAAGAGAAATGGCCTGAGGGAGGAGGTTCTACAGAGGAGGACAACTTATAGGGCAGCCTCCTGTAAGTCCACAGCTCTTCTCAGCCTTGGTTCTGCCTTTACCTGGGTCCGCCAAGCCGCCAAAAGACCCATGGTTTTCATAAAAAGCCAGAAGTAATACTGGCTTTTCCAGTGGTAGGGAGCTGGGATGGGGAAAGAAATTTCTAGATTTGGTGTTTGTAAGCCAAGGGCTTACTGTCCTTCCTTCCATGCCCCCATAGGTGACTGTAGTATGGTGACCATATAATGAATCATCAAAATTAAAACAATTTGAGAGTGAAGGGGGTGCTATTAGCAGTTACAAGGGACAGATAGTATAAACCATGACATAGTCCCAGGCAAACCTGAATGTCTGGTCACCTGCCCACAGGGGAGTGCTAAGCACAAAGCAGGCGCTAAGTAAAAGCCTGCTAAATAATTCAATATGTCGAAGGTGGTTGGCCCAGAGATGGGGAATAGAGCATGGTTTAAGGCTACTGCCAAAACCCGTCTGAACCAGAACCTCTCTTACAAACACAAAACACTCAAGAAGGTTTAAGTAAAATGCCTATACTGCTGCTATGTGGGAACTAACAGGTAGAACTCTGTTAAAATAAACTCTAAAAGACAATCTAAATTCGCTGCTTCAGGCTGAATTTTGATGTCATTGACTATTGCTCAGAAGAAGTGAGTCATCAACTAGCACATGAAATATTATTAAGTATCTAGCACATTTTTACAGAGCTTTACAATTTTTAAACTGCTTTTCCATTTTTATCTTCACGACTGACAATAAAACAGATAGGGCAGGTGTTATCTACATTCTCTATATAAGAAAACAGAAGCTCAGAAACGTTGTGTCTTTCCCAAGGTCACATAGCACGCATTCGATGCCGTCCCTCCCATCACACTGCACAGTGGCACAGTGTGAATATATCGTAACAAACATGCTACTGCCTCCAGGGTTCTTCTTTGAGAACTTTCAGAAATTTGCAGTTCATGACTTTTCCCTCATTTTTTTAAACTTAAAAATTACAAAAGTAATACATTTTGATTATGCAGGGATTTCAAAGAACAAAGAAGTATACAGAGGATAAAAAGAAAGTCTCCATTCTCTCATCCACATGTGCAATTGCATGCTATGTTTACAAGCTGGGAGTTTCGCATTTTTCTTAGACTGTTTATGAATTTACACACATGTACACAAGGTGGGGTTTTTTAAAAGTACAGCTAATTATACATATTGTTCTATAAGTTGCTTTTTTTCCCCCAAGAAAGCATTTTGGTTATCTCTTTATGTCACCATGTACAACTACATCTATAGCTCTACCGTACCTATCTTAAGGCTACATGGTAATTCATAGTTTGAATGTACCACAACTTATTTTACCATTCTCCTACTGGTGAATTTTTAGGTCATTTCCAGTTTTTCACTATTATAAACAATGGTGAAATGAACATTCTTTTGCTTATATTTCTGCTCACTTGTGTGATTATTTTTGTAGATTAGGTATCTAGAAATGAAACTGCTGGATCAAAGGATATGAACATTTTAATTTTTGGCAGATTATGAAAAATTGTTCACCAGAAGCCCTTTACAAATCTACACCTCCGTTAAGTGTGTGGGTGCCTGTTTCTCTACAGCCTTGTCAACAGTGAAAATTACCGGTTTTTTAATTTTATTAGTATCGTGTGAAAACTGGTATTGCATTGTTGTTTTAATTTGTATTTCTCTAATGAGGTTGAGCCTCTTCACAGATTTACTGACCTAATTGGTGTTCTTTTCCCTGTAAATTGCCTGTTTTATGACTTAAACCATTTTTCCACTGAGCTAATTTTCATACTGTGGAAGTGTTCTTTAAAATTATGAACCTTATTCTGAGTTTGGTATTTACATTATAAATATTTTCTTCTAGTCCATCACTTTTCTAAAAAATTCTGTCTTTCCTAAAAATACATAATATTTCCTTCTAATACTTTTACAATTTTGTCCCACCTTTCAGTTATAGCAATTCTCTCCTTCCAGTTGCTCAGGCCAAAGGTGCCTGTGTCATCCCTCATTCCTCTCCTTCCCTCATGTACCACATCTAATTCATCAGTAAATTCTTTTGGGTCCATGTTCAAAATACAACCAGGCCCTGAGCACTTCCCCACCTTGTTAAAACCCTAGTCTGAGCACTAGCATCAATTGCCTGGCTCACTCCCAGAGTCTCCTAACTGGTCTCCCTGCTTCCTCCTTGTCCCCTTACAGTCTACTATCACAACAACTGGAGTGATCCTTTTATATGTAAGTCAGATCACGTCTCACTTTTGCTCAAGATCCTCCAATGGTTCCCAATTTGTCTCAAAGTAAAAGCCAAAGTCTTTAACTTAGATGACGCAAAAATTATCTGCACCACCCATTCCAGCACCTCTCCAACCTTATCTGCTACCATTCTTCCCTCTCTCTCTGCTCCAGCCACCCACCTGTTCTTCTTGTTGAATCTCCAAAGCAGCCAGGCAGGCTCCCACTCTTTAGGGCACATGCACTGGCACTGGCCTTTGTCTGTGACACTCGAACCCCAGATACCAATAGGGCCAATGCTCTTATCTTCTTTAAGTCTTTGCTCAAATGTCAGTTTCCAATGGCTCACTTACTCAATTTAAAACTGCAGCTTTCTCCATTGCAGCCCTCCCAATCCCCACTAGCTTTTCCTTTTTTCATAGCACTCATTACCATCCACCATACTATACAGCTTACTTATTGTTTTCTTCTTCACTCAGCTAGAAAGTAAACTTCAAGAGGGCAGTGATTTCTGTCTTTTATTCCAAGGGCCTAGAACAGTACCTTACACAT